TGACAGCACTAATTTTCTTACATATACACAGTTCTTCAGTCATCCATGTAGGTTCCATAGCAGTTCGTGGGGATATACAAGTCTATGTGGCCTTGTTCTGACACAGCTCAAGATCATTCTAAAGCTATTTGGGAAATTTGCCTTTTTTAGTACCGATACCTGCTGAAACAATCTGCATTCAGTAGTAATTTTAGAACCCTAGTGCAGTTTGATTACATTAGTTCACAGAGTCAACGAGGCATTCAACCGCACGTGGTTAGAAACAGCAAGAAAAATATTAGACATGTGTTTGAGCGTGTGACTCTTTTGTTGTAGATCGGCTTCTATCTGTCTGAAGGAGCTAAATACTCTGAAACATACTTGTTTAAAAACTCAGTGTAAATGAGATCTTGCTTATCTATTTCTGCCAAAAGTGTGGTTATATATATTGTCGCCATTTTATTTACTAGATGCACCTGAATGTCTCGTGACCCTACATGTAGCCTGGAATCTGATGTGAATTTAGTTGTTTAGCGTTCTGGGAGTTCTCTGTGCATGTGAACATAGCGAGTGTGTGTCTACTTACAGTTTGGGAAAAGGGCCAAGAATGTCCCTTGATGCTGGAAAAGAATAGTGTTATGACAGCTCTTGTTTTATTTGGTTTTATTTACAAATGTGCTACCTTTTTGTGCGAGGAATCTTTGGACAGTTGTGTTCAAGTCAGACATATTTTCACTACATTACTGGATTGAAAAGAGCTTGCTAGGAGGCTAATGTTGTGTCAGGATAGTATATTGGCAGCCATGGTTCTGTCAGTGCAGCTATAAAAGAAATATAACAAATGTTTTTCTTCTTTATTCATTTCTATGCGATAGAGCTTGGCAGTCTTCTATACCGCAAAAGAATTCCCATTACAAAAGCCAACCTTGAAATGAAATATGTTATATTTTTGAGCAAATATGTTAAAAATAGTTACCTGAAAGAAAATTATAATTACACATTGTTCACAGTAGCAGCAGAGGCACAGTTATTAACATTGGCTGAATAGGTGAATAGGTCCTTGATATAAAAACACTTTGAGTGAATGGAAAATTTAACGGTTTTATGTAACTTGTGGAATGTCTTCATCCTGCTTGTCTCCTCTGGGATGTTTTCATATTTATAATTGCTTCATCTGGAATGTTGCGCAGTATGGCATTAAATGTATCTATCTTCAAAGAGACAAGCAGGTCATGCCATCAAACCAAGGTACAGGTCAGGTCTGTGGATAGGCAAATTCACTAGCAGTAAGAACACATTATTATCTAATACTGTACGGTTAAATTAAGTTAATCCGTGTATCATTCGTGCATTCATTTTTCAAAATAAAACCAAAAATATGAAAATGAAAAAGCTAATATTTTCTTCATTATTTGTCTCCAAAACCAAAATGAAAAAAACAGATAACAATTCTTTTTTTCAGTTTTTGATTTTGTGTTTAAATGAATAATGGAAAACTGGACTGTTTTCCCGTTTCTGTGACTTAAACTGCGATGCCGGACTTTTGCGCCACATACGGGCTGAACCAGAACTGAACCAGGACTAAAACAGGACTAAACCCGGTCTAAACCAGGACTGAACCAGTACTGAGTGTTGAGACGAGCCCGGAGGTGCGCCCGTGTAGACTGTCGGGTGATCAGGACTGAGACTGGGAACAGACCGGGACTGAGACAAGGACTCAGAGTGGGACCAGACCGGGACCAGACCGTGATTGAGACCTGGAACCGAGACTGAAACTGAGACCGGGACCAGACCAGGTTTAGTCCTGGTTTAGATCTGGCTCAGTCCTGGTTCAGTCCTGGTTTAGACCTGATTTAGACCTCTTTCAGACCTGGTTTAGACCTGTTTAAGTCCTGTTTTAGTCCTGGTTCAGTCCTGGTTGAGTCCGTATGTGGTGCAAAAGTGTGGCATTGCAGTTTACGTCAAACACAAAATCAAAAACTGAAAAAAAAAAAAAAAAACTAACCGTTGCCCGTTGCTTTTTTTTTTTTTTTTTTGGTGGGTTTTGGAGACAAATAATGAAGAAAATAGTTTTTCTTATTAGTTCTTACAGGTTTTTTTGTGGTTTTAATTTGAAAAAAGAATGAATGAATGATACACAGTTTTAAGTTAAAAAGCATTGTGAAACTCTGTAGGCAAAGCAATAACAACTCCATGAACACAAGTATGTAGGTGACATTCCCACTGGAAACTGGAAAAGTTGATCCATATAAATTTTTTCCCTGTCCATTAAAAGGGGTATTAATGTTGTTCCCTTATCAAAAACATACCTGACGAGATCATCATGTTTCAGTAATTTAGTGATCTGTCCCTATTTGAACCCTCCTTATAATTCGCAGTTAGATTCTGTCCAACGTTCAGCACACAAACCTACATCACCCATGCTCCTACATGACAATTTTCCACAAATATACAAAAGCAAAATAAACAATACAATATAACTTGACAAACCTGATGTGATGTGCAGTAGTTTCATGAGCAAAATGCACGCCGATTGTCATGTGACAGCGCTCTGACGGGGGAGTGACGTAGCACAGGGAGCCGCTGGAGAGTCGTCTCAAAGCATCAAAAGCAAAAGCGAAACTTATTAAATATGTTAATATGTAGTTTTTTTGGCCCATTTTCAATACAATAAAAGGTAACATCTTAATACATTATGTGTTCTCAATTAATCCCCCATAGAAGTGCAATACTCCCTCTTCAATTCTGCAGTAACTGACACACCAAAACGTGTATACACTACAAAACTAGACATAATTAAATCAGTTACACACACATCCCTTTCATTTTTTTCTTATAGTCATTAGCAGCCTATTTGCTTTTGAGATCAGAAACGGCTTTGAGTTTGCGTCTGCTGCCATATGGTTTTGAACAGAGCTGATGTCTCTCATGTAAAACGCTGTAATCATAGTCTCTTAGTTAGTGGCCAGTTAATTGCATGGTCATTTTGGTGATTTCTCGATAGTAGAAAATGGCTTTGCTGTTGTCTATTGATTGAACATTAGTGAGAGAGCTGTGGTTTTAATATTTATCTGGCAAAAACAGGCGTAGAATTTTCCACCATTTCCATCTGATTAATTTTGCATGTTGCGGCTGCAGGCGAGCAACCCCTGAACCTCCCAGATCTGTGCTTAAGTCCAATTAGTGTAATTTTGGTTTTTAATAGCTCCAGATTGTTTTCATCATTAATCAGTTTCCTAATTTTTTGTTTTTGTAGTAAAATAATATTCAGAATAGGTATCCTTCTAGAGTCATGTTTGCATAGGTTACTTAAAAGGCTCATATTACACTATTTTCTGATCTACGTTATAATATTGTTTTCTCATCACAAACAGACCTGGAGTTGTGTTTTGTTTCATTTACACATGTTTAAGACACCGTTTATTTAGGCTAATAAGAAAGGATAATAATAGGCTAGTAATAAAGGAAGTGCACCACTGTTTTTTGTTTTTTTAAACCCTATACATCTTCGTTAAAATCATTTGGATAGTTTCAGCTCTTGGATTGTCAACCACTACTGAACTAAAGGTAAAAGGTAGTTTTTAACCTGAAAACTACTGCTTCATGACATCACGAGGTGAAACAGAGCGTTTTGAGCTTTGAAGATATAGACAGACTAATTATAATGGATTATTCAAGCGTGTGAATGAAACAAAACACAACTCCAGGTGTTTTTGAGGAGGCAACTACCTTATCACATGGCTTAAAGCTCATAAGAATACATTTTTTGTAATATGTGATCTTCAGTAGCCCCAGATTGTTTTCATTATTCATCAGTTTCATGTTTCTTTGTTTTTCAAGTAAAATAAAATGGCCATTCAGAACAGGAGTCTGTCTTACAGCTGATTTTTAGTACAATAGGTCCCATAATGATTAAAAATTAGGACCATTGCTATAGTGATAGACAGTTTAAAACAAACATGATATATTTGAATCACAAAAAGTTCTCTAAGGCTATGTTCAAACTGCAGGGCTTAACGCTCAATTCGTATTTTTTGTGAAATCCGATGTTTTTGCGAGGTCGTTCACATTTCCAATTTAATGCGATTTGTATGTGATCTCCAGTGTGAACTTTAACCGGCCCAAAAGTGTCCCGCATGTGCACTGGAGGACACGATGACGTCAACATCGTCAGCGAGTGTGCTCTGTGTTTACGGAAGTTGTCCAAACATGGACATTGAGCACCTGGTGATTTTAAAGTTCCTCTTGTACCAAAAAATCGGATTTGGGTCACTTCAGGCTGCAGTCTGAACATAGCCTAAATGTTGCATATAACAGGAAGCTGAAACCCATGAATACATATTTTGGTGCATTTTTTTCTCTAACTGGAAGGTTGGCAGTGCGGTCAGTGGTCATTTGTATCATAAACATGTAAAGGTAATAATAACTCTTTGAGCCATACCAGATTTTTGAGAAGTACATGTAGTTTGAACTCTTGCTCCACTCACTTCGTCTCATCTCCGTCTTCGATGTTGAACTGTGACTGTGATAAATAACTGTCTGGGTTAGTCACAGACTGTTGTTTCCACATGGTTCTTGTCCAAATATATGACTGACTGGACAAAACATTTCCCTGGCACTTGCTTCTACTGTATGGTGCATTTCATACAAAAAATGAACTTGTTTACAAAGATTGGATGTGCAGTTTCCACTCAGCATTGTGTTAGTGGTGGCTGGTGGCGCAGATTGGCACCTGTGGTTACAGAAATAACTTACCACCACAGAGTATGGAGCAAATTAAAAATGTCTACAGTATTGAGCTTTGAAAGGCCTGTAAATTATTATTATAAAAAATAACAGCTTTAACTTTACAGTGCATAATTTGAACTAATCTAATGCAGAATAAGTGGAAGAAAGAACAAACTTCTGAAAGTACGACTGCTGCTCCTAAGTGTACCCCACATAACCTTTACCGTCTTGACCGCTGGACTTTACCCCAAACACCTTGTTCACATGTTCCCCTCTGACCTTTGACCTTTCAGATGGGCTTCTGAGTGACGGTGAGTTCCTGGACATCACAGAGATCAAGAGGCAGCAGGCGGCAGATTACGAATGTGTCACCCACAACGGAGTGGCCCCCGCCGACCAGCGAAAAGTCAGAGTCACCGTCAACTGTAAGTGCACCCATTACTATCAGAGGCATTATGTGCACCAAGTTATGGGTCAGATCTGTGGAGAGACAACCCCACTCACACTGCATGTTTTTCTAGGTATTTTTGAGCTACAAAACCACCTGTAATTGTATAAATGTAAGGTAGAGCTGCTCAATGTCAAACTATTAACATCCCAGGCAGAGGAATGATGTATCCATAGAAACAAGCAAGTGACAGACCCCCAACCAAAAAGATACATCGTACAACCTTATAAAATATCTAGAAAAATATACATTCTGACTGTGAGCGGGGTTGCCTCTCCACAGATCTGACCTGTAACCTGGTCTGGTTTGGTCTCCATGAAGATACTATCTTGTGAAGCATTTCAGACAAAGCAATAACATCTCTATGAAAAAAAGCAAAGTGGAGCAAAAAAAATAAAAAAATCTAGTAAAATTAAAAGTATCACATGAAAAAATATACTATAAAAATGTAACAAGTAAAAGTCTTAAAATACCTGTTTAAAAATGTATGTGTGTGTAATTGTAAGAGTTATTACAATTACTGTGGAATTATTTCGCATAGATTTTCAGATCTAATAAAGCTTTAAATGAACTGTTTTTGATACAAATTTGTGCAGAATTTTGTGCGACAGAAACCATGGATTTAAAAAAAATCATAACTGATTTTATTTGTACATTTTTGTTTGCCCAAAGTATAAATGTGTTCAAAATAAACCCCTCAGCCTTTTCAGCAGGTCTAAAACAAGACAGAAATAAAGAAAAAGACAAATGTTTCTGTCAATTTGACTCTTTAAGTAAATGTAAATGTGAGTATAACAGAGTACTACCCACCTCTGCTTATAAACCCTTTGAATGAGGATACAGAACTGAATTGTGTCTAAAATCCTTTAAATCTACTTATAAAATAAACAAAACCACACCACAGATTTATGAGGGCAGTCATATGTATTAGAATGGACTCACTTCAGTATCACAACAGTCCTTGATAAAACTTCTGTTATTGATGTTTCAGACCCGCCCATGATCACAGATGTGAAGAACATGCCTGCACACTTGGGTAAGACGGTGATCCTGCGCTGCGAAGCCATGGCAGTACCAGCCGCCACCTTCGAGTGGTACAGGGACGACCACAGGTGAGACACACACGCACACGCACACACACACACACACGCACACATGTTGGGGAGTCGTTAGGGGAGAACAAACCTTGGCCCCAGGGTTTTAGGGACCCAGAATCAGACCATCTTCATATTAAGGTCTATTAGAGTGAGGCCCCAAATTTCTGACGGAACTGCACACATGCAACAGCAATATAAAAAGAAAAAGAAGAAAAGATATTTATAGCCATACTATGTAATCATTTAACACAAAAAAAAATCTGCAATAAAAGCATGTTTATTTTTGTTATTCTGGTTGTTTTTATTGCACTGGAAAACTTGAAAAACACGTCCTTACTATAAGCAGGCTTGCATTTCCACAAACCTGACCCTACTATTTGACTTTTCCTTGCTTGTTTCCATGGAAATGCTGTTACTTTGGCTTTAAACTGTCACAGAATGGCATAAACCTCTATCTGCATCATTGAGAATGTTCTGAAGTATGGCTTTAACCTTGTACAGTTGAATACCTCTCCTAGGCTGCTCCTAGTGTAATCAGACTGTGCTTTTCCATGCAGGGGGCTTCCAAATATGAATCGGACTAGTTTCCCTGACTTGCATGTAAACATAGTGAGCACTGACAGACATTCTCCTTGCATCATAATGGTTTGTTCAAATACACAGTAATGTAGTGCTGATGATATATTTAGTGTCTGTGGCCTTCTTCTTCCACCAGTGCCTTTAAAGTCTGTGCTTCGAGGTAGAATTAAGATGCCAATATTCTGATATTAAAAGCATCTCTCCATCTGGGATTAGAGCACTTGTTTACTCATCACTCCAGGTCAAACTCATGTCAGCCTTATGAAAATGAGGCTTTATCTCCAGATAATGAGATAATGAGTCCATTTAGACACCAAAACAAGGGTCATGTCTGGGGAAATTGTCTTGTTTTGAATTTAGCTTTGCTTAAAATGTTTTGGATTTGTTTTATGTTGTAAACAATATCATGTGCCTATTTTGATGTTATACAAAGGTGCAACAAAACTGAATAGCAACTAAAGGCCAACGCACACCAAAACGCGGCTCGTCATTTGCTGCGCTTCAAACCCATGCGTTAACACTCACTGAACGCTGCACGTTATGGCTCTTAAAAAGGCTTTAACACAACTCTTGCTGTGTTACAAATGAGCGTTTTATCTGCACATTACTTATAAAATAAGAGACACAGCGCGAGGCGGTGAGAGCAAAGGAAAGGCGCTGGTTTGAGAAGGTTAAAGTGAGTTTAGTGAGAAGAGAGAGTTTCCCCACACAGAGAGAAGTGGGAGAGGAGGCGATGTGCACCAGGGCTTTCTCTTGTGTCTCTCCGTTTACAGCTCCTTTTGTCGGTCATAGAGCAGAAACATGCTTGTACTCACCACAGAAGTACAGAATGCCTCATGTGTTTTCAGACCCAATTCAACAAACCTGAATCATGGGCACAGACATGTGACCAGTGTGTGCTGGCTCATAGAAAATAATGGAGGCGACCATTTTGCCACAAGTGTCCCAGTGTGCTTTGGTCTTAATAACAATAATGATTATAATAATAATACATCTTATTTATATCTGTACAAAGACACTGTACAAAGAAAAAAAGAGGACATAAAACGGTAACAAGGTAATCAGTCATTGGAGCTGGGACAAATGTGTATCTTGGTCTTATATTCCGCAGGAGTCTTTCATTATAGTGAAATCTTCAAGTAAATATGTCTATACATTTCTTTCAAGTAACTTGTCATGAAATTTATGTTAAAAATACTTGCAGGGGGCGCTAAAACTTCATCTGCTGGTGGATTGAACATAGAAAAAATATGCTTGGCTGCTAATGATGGGTGCTACCAGTGAGTTTATTTTTCAGTATGATACAGGTAATAGTAGGGCAAGCATCACAATACTGATCAAATACTATTTAATATGATACTAAAATTCATTGAAATTTTGCTACTTTAAAAAAAAAATTACCACTATTACTTTTCTTTTTGTATTTTTTATGTTTTTACTACTTACTTTGGCTCAGTAATTCCTTGTATTCTAGTATTCGTGTTTACTTCTATACATTAGTCTACTATCATCACTGCTCTTCTTAGTATTACAATCCTCTTTATGTGAATACAGATTTACAGACAGGTTTAGTTGTTTTTCAGTTTTTTGGCTTGTTGGGACAGTCCCTGCATAGATCAGGAGAGTTCTAGCGAGGTACATCCACACTAAGTTCATTTTTGCTTGAATATAAAATACTGACAAGATTTTCTATCCTGTGCATTTTTATTATCTGGCTATACGCACCTTATATAATGTATGGACTAGCTGGTGTTTAAATGTACAGCAAATTTACGCATGGCAACTGTTCCTGAAATATTTCAGGAAAGATGAAAGATGAAATTGAAAAAACAATTCTTATATCAATATGTTTTATTTATTGATTTCTAATTTATCAGGTGTTGTTGGGAATTAGTGTGTTCAGCAACAGTAAGTTAGGACTCCATTTGGCAATATGAATCAGAGTTGTCTATAATATGAAAATGAAATTAATAGGGATGTAACAATCATCCATGTGTCATTTGGGCCCGATCAAGCAGAAGTAAACATCAAGGCCAAAAATTCAAGTTAATGCATCTGATATAAAAATGTATTCAACAGATACATATGTACTCTAGTTTATGAAACTGTTTACCTTTTTTCTGTACCATTTTTGGTTCTAAAGTTACATACGTTTTAAACTGACCATGTATGAAACATGGAACAAAAATTATTTCCCAAATTTCAAAAACCTGCAAATCATGTAAATAAATGGATGTATTTCATCATATCTTTTGTTATTCGATCTTTGAACTGTTGATGAAAGTACATGATTTTTCAAAAAAATGATATTTTATAATTATTTATAATTTAAAATGATAAAAATTTGCTTGGAAGGACTGACATATTTTATAGAAATAGTTTCCTTTCATTTTGAAGTAATATTTAAGTATTCGGAAGGAAAAAGCTGACAAATTATGCAAAATTCATGCACCTTCTACTTGCTTGCACAATTTTCCCTTTTACTTTTCCCTCCGTTACCATGACCTTTCTTAATAAAAAATCTCATTACTTAAAAAATTAGAGGTTTTTCAACCTCTAGCGGTTCTCAATTGCATAAGGAGATGTAAGTGAGAATCGCTAGTTATCACTGTTTGTATTTATTGCCCAAAAAGTGCTGCATATTTCATTCCCTCCGTTACCAACATGAGTTTTAAAATTTTTTGTCAACAACTTGAAAGAATATCACAGGTTTAACTTTACCCTGTTGGAGTGTAACTCTTTCCTACATTCTAATACTTTACTTATTTCAATAGTCCCTCTAGTTTCTGAATAAGAGACTATTTGAATGTAAAAAAATCTGCCCCTGTTTCCCTCCGTTACCACTTGACCGGACTCATTTGTTCATTCTTTTATCAAAATAAAACCATAAATAAGAAAATGAAAAAACAACTTTCTTTATTATTTGTCCCCAAAACCAAAATGAGAAAACAGATAATGATTCATCAAAGAATAATGGAAAAAAAATTGCCTGTTTACATGACTTAAACTGCGATGCCGGACTTCTGCAGGACATAAACAGGAAATGGCCATTATCTGTTGTTACCATTATTATTTTAAACACAAAATCGAATAACTGAAAAAACAAATCATTATCCATTTTTTCCTTTTGGTTTTTGAGGCAAATGAAAAAATGTTTGGTTTTATTTTGAAAAACGAATGAACAAATGATACACGGATTAACAATAACTGAAATATTGTGATATCGCATCGCCAAAACTCTCACGATATATCTACAAAACCAAAAAGTCAACACAATATATTATTACAAGTTTATTTGCTTGAATTGTTAAGATGCGGCAACAGCTAAAAATCAGGAGAACTACATATACCATGATCCTTTGCTCTGTTTCCGTACAGTCTACATGATGAATAAACCATTTTGAATCTTTTTTTTTATTTTTTATTATTAGCCTTCACAAAATATTGCAATAAATATCGTGCTGTGAGATGCATATTGCGAAAATATCGTGTTGCAAGATTTCGATATTGCTACATCCCTAGAAATTTATAGCACTAAAAAGACCACCCTTAAAAAAATGATGGTCTTTGGTTCTTTTATCTTCAATACATTACTTACCATGACATAATATTCTTCCTGATCTATTCTACACACACATATTAAACATACAGCCGCCGACACCTTTACGCACATGCATCCTTCATTTCTCTTAGGTGCTGTGTTTTCCTGACAATCTTGTTACCTTAAACGCCGCACCACATAAATCCACACGCACTAACCGTTAAGTACCTCCTGTTTGACCGAGGGAACTGCCTACGAGCCACAGACCGCCGCGATCTGGGCTAGCATCCATTAGCCTTGACATTATTACATCTCCGATAACAATCGTATATGTTTTTACAATCTCTGGAGAAGTATTATCTGGCATCTGATGCCTATTTGCTCTCTATTAGCTTCACATAAATTGTCCTTCCAAGTTTGTAAGAGGTCCCCAAGTGCATGAAGTGATTTTAGCGTTGTGAAAAACTATTTAGGGATGCTTTTGTTAGTCAGGAGAGCTGTTAGCCGATTATAATAGCCCGGGTATTATTTATGGACTTGGATTTCACTATTAGCACGAGGTGGGCGCTTTTGGCAGGTGTGATCCTTTGTGGCATCGCACTTTATCTTTTAGGTTTGGTGAGTTTCAAGTTGAGAGAAATAAATTGTGTTGAGAAAAAATGACCGATTCAGATGTTTCTGTTGAACAAAATTCACCACAAATCTAAACAAAATCAATGCTTTTTAAATAGTCCAATGAGATTCATTTGGTCTTCCGATATTTTATGTTATTAGGGTTTTTTTTTTCAGACCTTAGAGTTTTGTTTCATACCTGACAGTTTCGACTGCTCACTAGTGTCTTCCTCAGAGTGGTCAGAGTGATGTTGCTGTGACGTGTCTGGTCAGCTGATTTAAACACTTTTAAACAGGTTTTGGTGCTGTCTTCCTACCGGTGGAGGCAGGATGACAGCGCCATCTGCAGTTCGACTTCCTCAGGACAGTATCCCAGGTGCGTGAGAGTAAAAAAGCCCCCTCGTCCCGGTTTATAGTCCCGTGAGCACGTTTCCATATTTCGATTGCCTCTTTAATCCAGCGGCGATGTTTGTTTTTCTCTGTCCCAGTGACGTTTGCTCCATCCCAGTCCATAATGTGGTTCTCTCTTTTACAATGGTCAGAAATGGCCAATTTGAGTTGTTCCTGTTGTGCTTTGTGTTTTGTTGCTCATGTGCACGCCTTCGCTGTTTCCTTCTCTCATTCTGTTCTATGTTCCTTTTTTCGTGTACTGAACGCCCTCCCTGTTTGTATGTTTCATTGCAGGACATGCAGGGTATTTCGTACATGACATTACATTTATGCTCTGGTTCTATTTTGTCTTTCGGGTGGACGAGTAGTTGTCTGAGTTTTGTGCAGTGCAGATGGCGCTGTCATTCTGCCTCCACCGGTAGGAAGACAGCACCAAAACCTGTTTAAATCAGCTGACCAGACACGTCACAGCAACATCACTCTGACCACTTTGAGGAAGACGTTAGTGAGCAGTTGAAACTGTCAGGTATGAAACAAAACTCTAGGTCTGAAAAAAGAACCTAATAACATACACTACTTTTTAAAATATTTCAAGATTCTTTTACTACTTTTACTTTTTACTCTTTAAGTACATTTAAACGGGTACAGGACAGAGGCTCTAGCAGGAGTCATGCACAGTAGAGTCCGGGGAGAGACTGGGGTGATGCGCCAAGGAAGTTTTGAACAGTTATTCTGCGCTTCATACACACCCTCTTCATGGAAAACACACGAAGAAATGCAGATAATGCAGCTTTAAAGTTAATGGCAATTGACGTGTTGAAGGAGGAAATCGAGCTGCTGCATGTGAGCTTGGCATCAATAAGTCGATGGTGAGATTTTGGCGTCGGCAGTGTGACGAACTGACTCAATGCAAAAAAACGACAAAAGCGTTCAGAGACGATAAAAGCAGACGACCCTTGATAATTTTCTTGAGGACGTGGACACCTGTCGCTTATATTCAGGTGTGGCCTATATATGTACGATTTAAAAATTTTGTTAAAATATTGTTGATGCAGCTTAAATTCAGGTGCGCTCAATAGTCCGGAAAATACAGTATGTGAAAAATCACTGAGTCATCCAGGTAGAATCCATGGCAAAAGAAAGAAGAAATTCAATTTGTCAACTGGACAAAAGTTTATTTGGTTGAATACGTTTCACAGCTCATCCAAGTTAGTTTGGCCTATTGACCTGACTAAGTAACAGAAACTGTAAACAAGTAGGTCTCTGAGTTTCAGAGTAGTTTCATTGTAGTTAGCTCCTCCCTTCAGGCTGATATAAGGAAGTATCTGCCAGCATTTTGACCAGAACTGATGAAGCAGCTTGGATGAGCTGTGAAACGTATTCAACCAAATAAACTTTTGTCCAGCTGACAAATTGAATTTCTCCTTTTGCTTTTGCTTTAGTAGTTTTTTTGTTGTTGTGTTTTTTGCTCCTGTATCTGTACTTCTGTAATAAAACTGAGTACTTCTTCCACCACTGCAAATTTGATTAATCTTTTGTTTACATCAACTCTCTGTGCCCTACTGACTGCATCAGAAAAAAACATTAGCCATCTGATCCTCTAAATCTTTCACTCTCCACACTTCCTATTTTTTGTATTACAGCACAATTAAAAAGTTCAGTTGACTTCTCTAAGATCTCTCACTGTCTGCCAACTATTAACAGACTTAGTTTGGCAGAAATACATGTTAGAAATTGAGTGTGCAGGGACATATCAGCCTATAAGCTCCAGTGAGTCTGAGGCTAGAGCAGGGGTGGGCAAACTTTTTGGCTCGCGGGCCACATAGGGTCCTAAAGTTTGGCTGAAGGGCCGGACAGAAAATAAGACATAACGTGTTAAGAGCTCGACTTCATTACATCATATTCACGTTTATGTAGAACTTCAGACGCTTCAACATTTCTGTTAATGATTCAGACACATAAAAGTGAATAAATCTGTTCCACTGCACACGACAGGGAAATAAACATCATGAGCTCAACGTTCACAAATTTGAGTAAAATTAACTCAATGTCAAAGTCAAACAGTCACACACAGACACCTGTAAATGCAATAAAACTGGACACTATGAAGCTGCACATATTGACATTTACATCTCAGAATCTTCAAGTTTTCTAAGTTTTATTTTTACCAACTTAAAATAGAAGCAGTGCAGTCTTATATCTTGAACACCAACTACTTCACTCATGGTCCGAATAACTCCTGTAAGAACACTTTCCCATAAAGCATTGCGGCCAATATAATACGCCGCACCTCAACGTATATGTAGTGCGCCATCTACTGGGAAACGATGGAAATGCATGGCAAATAAAACATCAACAAGGTTTATTTTTGTAATTTCTTCCAGTTCGGCGGGCCGGATTAAAAGGTTTAAAGGGCCGTATACGGCCCCCGGGCCGTAGTTTGCCCACCCCTGGGCTAGAGGTTAGAGTGTTCACCCATAAACCCAAAAGTGCATACTGTTGTTGTGTCCTTGCATAAGACACTTCACCCATCTTGTCAGTGATATGTGAACAAAGCCAAAACTTGTCTTTATTTTGTAAAATGAAAGTTTAAATTTCCAGTAAATGTTCCCTGAATTTTGAATGGAATTTTTGATGATGACATATGTAACGGGATTCACCACAACTTCTTCCTACAAACTGCTATTTAACTGAATTAAAACTAATATAATTATTTACTCATCCCACCTATCCAATCAAACCAAGTAATAATAATGTTAAATGCACTTTAACTTTAAATTGCCCATATTAGGCTATTTTCTGATCTAAGTTATAATGTTGGTTCCTCATCGCAAACATACTTGGATTTGTGTTTTGTTTCATTCACACATGTTTCACCCATAAGTTAGGCTGAGTTCTTCTCTTAAACAGAAAACACCTTTTGATGTCATGATAATTAGGGGTGTCAAATTACCAAGTTAATTGCGATGAATTAATTACAGTCATATTTAGCGCGTTATGTTTTTTAATCGCGTTAATCTCATTTTTAATCTCTAACTTTACTGTTTCTCTATGCGAGTTGCCTTATTATAAAATCTGTTTTTATGTGTTGTTAGGACAACAACACACACACACACAACGGTAATTTCACTCATTGCTGGAAACCCACACAGAACGCGCGCAGTAAGAGCGATGTAAACGTCTTGTTAACGTTGGCGGCGTCAGTTACAATGGACGAGGTCGAAGAGCCAGTAGAACAGAGTCAGCAGCACACAGGTAAAACACATTCGTGTCTTGGAAATTCTTCTCCCAACGTGAGATATAAAAGAAAATAACAAATATAAAATCGCCTACAAGTTAAATGTCAAACCAGAGCTACTGGCACTGGTGAAAACAACCTGCATAGGCTCATGATATCTGCACTACTGTCCTATAATGACCTGCCACATGAGGGGACACGCACACAAACACACACAAACACAAACCCAAACACACACAAACACAAACACACACAACAACACAACACAAACACACACACACAAAACACACACAACACAACACAAACACACAAAACACACACCTTCATCATTGTCATCAGCCTGAGCACACGCGGGCCATGTCTCCTTCCGTAGCTACTGCGCGGACACCGCGTGAACCGCGTGAACCGCGTTTTCTCGCGTACGCTGCGTAGACCGCGCTTTCTCCTGTGCGTCTCTAAACCAGAACTAACACCAAGACTAAAACCGGGACTAACCCAATCCAGGACTAAACCAGGACTAAACTAGGACTAAACCAGGACTAAAACCAGTGATCTCATATATAAAGCATTTCTCTATCAATAATATTTTTAATATGGTTAAGGAAAGTCTGGGCTTTTTATTGTCTTTAAGCAGACAAAACATCTTATGTTCAGATTTCCAAGTCCTTGCTTCTCTACAGCAAACAGTTTGCTTATTCATGGAGACTTGGGCTCAACAGACAATTTGAAGAGAACAGACAAGAATTTGCAGGATGTGGTTGCTACATTCATGTAGTTTTAAAAAAAGCATGACAATATCAAGTAATCCAAAGTATTCAGATTATGTTACTCACTAAGTAATTAAATGGATTAAGTTACAAACTACATTTTGGGATATGTAATCTGTAATCTGTAGGGGAATACATTTTAAAAGTAACCTTCCCAACACTGCAGATTAGTAATAGTAATAATAATGATGATACTGTGGAATGTAAGTGACTGCATCTGTTAAAGTTTGTTAAACAATAAATGACTTTATAAAGTCACTTTTTTTGTTCTATATCAGTCTTTTGATCTGCCACAATAATGTAATAATGAATTTAAATGAAAATACCTCAAGTTGAAGGCTTTTCTCAGCAATTTTTAGGTGAGATTAAAAAGAGATTAATTAGATTAATTAATTACAGATCATAATTAATTAATCTCTCAATTTTTTTAATCACTTGACAGCACTAGTGATAATACCGGAAGTGCTCCACTGTGTTCTTAAACTCCACACACCTTCACTACAATGACTTGGATCATTTCAGTCACCGGAATTGTCAATCTCTACTGAAGAAAAGATTAAAGGTAGCTGAAAACTACCACTTCATGACATCACAAGGTGGAACTGAGCATTTTGAGCTTTGGCGATGTAGACAGACTAATAACAAAGGGTTATTCAAACATGTGTGAATAAAACAAAACACAACTCCAGGTATATTTTTGATGAGGTAACAACATTCTAACATGACTTAAACACAAGAGTCAATTTTTCCGTAATATAAAATCGGTCAAAATGGCCCAGTGTATTATAGCCCTTAAATCATCAGACTCTTTGCATCCACACAAAGTTCTGCAAAGATAATGCTAACTCTCCTCTATTGTGTCTCAGGCCGGTGGAGAGTGACAACAACCTGAGGGTCAAACATGAAAAGACACGCTCTCTGCTCCTCTTCTCCAACGTCACAGAGAAACACTTTGGGAACTACACCTGCTTCGCCTACAACCGCCTGGGAAACTCCAACGCCAGCATGCTCCTGTTTCGTAAGTGATCCTCAAACACTCAGAGGCTAAAAAGAACATATACAGCCATGGGGTCTTAAAAGTCTTAAAATGGTCTTAAATTTCATGTTCCTAAAGGCCTTAAAAAGTCTTAAATTATGATGTCCAAGTCTTATTTTTTTCACAAAAGTCTTAAATTCATTAGCCTATTTTTTTTTGTATACTCAACCAGACTGCAGTGCAATCTGAATCTCACTCCACCAGGTTAGGCACTACACCTCTCTCCTTCTCTCTTTCTCTCTCTCTGGTTGAAGCACTTTGAAAGTCAGTGTGAGACAAGACAATTTGAAAGGTTAGTTTGTCTTGTTAGAATGTTATAAATAATTTTTTGGCCATTTTACAAGTAATGCATATTACTATAAATGAGTTCTGAATTAGATTTTATAATAGAAGTATTTTTTTTTTGTTATTTAAAGCAGTGAGTAATGGTCATTATTGTATAAGAATTTGATCTGGTGTTTTTCGCCCACATAATGGGTGTGATGTTGGTCTTAGTTTTCATTTAAGTGGTCTTAAAAAGGTCTTAAAAAAGTCTTAAATTTGGGGTAGTCAAACCTGGGGATACTCTGATATAGGCTATTGCTATTGTTTTGATGTTTTACTTGTAGACATAGATGGACTATGAAGCATTTTACCCACTTATGATTGGATAATGGGAGGAAAAAAACCCACAAATGTTATACATTTGTATATTTATGTATTTAGATTATGTATTTATAGTTTATATATTATATATACATTTATTACATATTACTTACATTAATACTACAACATTTGAATTCATGCTTAAACAGAACTTTTATTTTTCCGTGTGTAGTTTGCTCCTAAAATGATCATGTTCTACGCACGCAGCTCTAATTACACACAACATTTTTGCAGGGCATACTTCAGTACTACTATTAGTAATACTGCCTTTACTGCCTGTCTTTAGGAGTAGCTCTCCTTTGCTCGGGCGTCTTTAGGACCGGTTCTCCTCTGCTCAGGCGTCTTTAGGAGAGGCTGTTGATTTGTCTTTTATTTTATCGATGGCCACATAGAGGCATCTTTACTGACGATGTGTTCTTCACACCCACATTAACGATGTTTTGTTTTGGCGCATTCTTCGCTGGCGTCTGTGTGTGTGTGTGCGTGTGTGCGCTCAGAGCTGAGTTGGAGATTGGAGTATTTAGAACAACAGCCCTCTAGAGCGCCAGGCTCTAGTCAAAGTGCATCCTTTGGTAAAAAAGGATATAAGCACTCTTCCGTTTGCTCCTGCACACGTCCCGCCCAGTGGTCTTCTGTACGCGGAGGTCATTATAGTACAACCACCCATCGGTTGGGTCAAGGGGACTGTTGGCCAGGTCTTTCCCATCAAACACGAAGTGTCCTATAGAAGCACACACACAGTAAAGATGAGAGTTCAATTTCTTTAAGACATTTTCCTAGTGTTGAGTAATAAATCATTTTCTCACCAGAGTTGACTGATTTTCCAAGGTGGGAAATGATACCCACTAGACTGAAACAGCCAGAATCCTGTAGAAAGCACAAATGGCAGATTACTAAGAAAGTTCAAAAGTTCCTTCACTACAACTGTGAAAAATTGACTTTACATTGTTTGACGACACCACAAGGTCTCTGTTTAAGTGGATGGAATCATTGATCCTCTCCCGCTGGTATCTGGGTGTGTACCTGACCCTTTTCAGTAAGAGCATCAGAACTCTGCGTAAGGACAAAATGTAAACAATAGTTAGTAAGGAGAAGGCAGTTGTTTCATTCAAATGAACGTTTGTTTCACTTACTTGGGCAGTGTTGAAAAGCTGCTTTGTACGGAGGACATTAGCCCACCACAGCCGCACATGTACTCCAGGTCTGCGGCCTGTCAAAATCAAATATAATGTGAATATTAAATCAAAATGCAGTACTGTATTGAGTATTTCATATGCACAAGTAAAGTTACTTGGCCAGATAAATACTTGGATCATACCAAAGGAAACAAAATCTTACTTTCAAATAGTCCTCCAGGAGGTCGGGAATCGTAGCATCTTGATGCAGCTTCAGAGAAACAGAGTTAAAAATCTCTGTCTGACGTGAGCCCATTCCACACCTGCACAAACATTAATACAGTACATGGAGTTTATGAAGTACATCAAGTATATATGAAGTAAATGCTACTGAAGAGTATTGTGTTTGCTGTGAGCCCATACCTCTGGCAGGTCCTGGTCCGATCCATGGTAAAGACGAGCTCCTGCACTGGGCACCTGTAGGTAGTGCCCAGGCTGAAAGCAATGCTCTCCAGTGTTGGTGCCAAACTTTGAATTTGACTAAACAACACAGTGAGGAACCTAAGGGCGGACTGAAACAAACACACAGTAACTTTAGTTTAGCAGACCAGAAGAAATATAAATTAGCATATTAGTTTGTCTTTATGGAATCTTTATGAAAATGTTATGATTTTTTAAACTTAATTAACTGAACATCCTTTTTTACAAAAGTAAAGACAAAAAACCTAAACCTAAAGAAAAGTCACTTTTGTAATCTATATAGAGTTTGAAAACCAGTTTAATATTACTAGTACATTATGTTAGATAAAAAAATAAATAAATCACTGGTACTTTTGATAAATGTAATTGTTCTAAATAATTATTATTTCAATTATATCCTGCATCCCTCAATCATGGCTAAAGTAACTCACTTGCTGTTGGGACCCTCTAAACTCTGGAGCCTTGGAAGCTACAAGAGCCTTGAAAGAGTGCACCAGTGTTTTCCTCTTGTCTTCCTGAGTGGAGTATCTCGACTTTTGGATGTCGTAAAGGTGTCTGTGGAAGAGACATGAGCTCATCAAATAAGGCATTTCACTCTGTACGGTTTACATGACTTTTTTGCTGTAATTAGAGATCATTATTTAAAAAAGATTGTAACTGTAAACTTTAGTGTCTGAGAGAGAAAAGAAAGGATAAAAAAGATAAAGCAGTGTCCTTATACAATGACCACTGCTAGTTGCTTTTACACAGTTAGAAAATGGTAAATATGTATTTAGTAAAGGGTGCGTAGCTGTTGCGTACCTCAACAGGCCTGCGTCTCTGCTCTTCTCCCAAATTCTCTTCTGAGAGCTCACGCTGCGCATGAACAGCTCCAGGGTCATGATGCTCTGAACACTGGCGTTGAGATAGCATGTATTTCCAATGTTGGGAAGTCTGTAAATGAAAACAACATCATCTAATCTCTGTCCAGTTAATGTCAATAAACTGTATCAATCATAACCAAAAAACGTACCCAAAGCGTGCCAGGTTGAGCGTCACTGTTTCACAAGGAACAGGCTTAGGAGGATTGGGGCTATAGAAAGACAAACCAGAGATTACAAAAGTATTCTTAATTCTTAAAACTACTTTGTTTTAACATAAATATCTACAGTCCCTTGATTAAAAAAAAAACACTGATGTACCATTTCTGTTGGTTAAAAACCAGACACTTGACTTCTGATGGAGGACGGTTCTGTTCCTTGGTCAAGTCTTCCCCTTTCAGGTCATCAGGGGAAACCTTTCCTCCATCCTGTTAAAGAAATAGAAACATTACACACTGAAGCCAGAGCTGTACTAGTATATACTGTAATACATGCAACTGAAACTTACCTGTCCACCGCTGAGCTTTGTGGACTCTGCAACCCTGAAACAAACACATGTCATGTTATTTTACATTCAGATTTAAGATAAGATAAGATAAGATAAGATAATCCTTTATTGTCTCCCATGGGAGAAATTTGTCTTGGGACAGGGGGTAACATGTTTTATCAAAAAACAGGACAACACAACACAAAGCACCACATAAACAAACACCATAAAACAAAGTAAATATGAGACCAGTATGACCACGAGTGATGCACCAACAGGACCCTTAAATTATCCTTAACAGGCAAACCCTTGCATTCTTCTGTTCTATTAATTATTGCACATTCCCTAAGCCTATGTGCAGTTTTAGTTATAATTATTGCACATTCCCTAAGCCTATGTGCAGTTTTGATTGCACATTCCCTAAGCCTATGTGCAGTTTTTGTTATAATTATTGCACATTCCCTTAGCCTATGTGCAGATTTAATTATTGCACATTCCTTAAGCCTATGTGTAGCTTTAATTGCACATTCCCTACACCTATGTGCAGTTTTGATTGCACAATCCCTAAGCCTTTTATAATTATTTTTTAACTGCATTATCTGAGTTTAGCAGTTTAACAGCTAGTGGCACAAAAGAATATTTGAATCTGTTCAGTTTACAGTTTGGGACCCTGAACCTTCTGCCTGATGGCATCAACTCAAACTGACTGTGAAGAACATGGGTTGGGTCATTGATCACCTTCCTGCCGAGCTTCCTCACAGTCTCCTCAAAAATTTGCTGAAGTGAGCTTGGGGCCACACCCCATTATTTTACCTGCTCTTTTAGTCAAGGTAAAAATCTGTGCTTTAAGTTTGACTGAGAGGTTACCAAACCATGTTGACATGCCATAGCGTAAGATAGATTCTATGCATGCTTTATAAAACAACAGCATTACATTGGTGTCAACTCCATGTAACCTAAGCCGTCTTAAAAAATAGAGACGCTGGCTGATTCTTGAGCAGACAGACTGTACCTGCTGGCTCCATTGGAGCTGAGAATCAAATAACACACCCAAGTACTTATAACATGTCACCTGCTCTATGTCCCTCCCCCTGATATTAACGGGGCTGTGGTCCCCGACAGATTTGGGATCAAAAATGATCTCCTTTGTCTTTTCCACATTTAAGACAAGGTTATGCTCCTCACACCAATGCACCACTTGATCAATTCCTGTCCTGTAGCTCATGGCATCTGTACTTTTACTGAGTAAACTAAGAATAGCTGTGTCATCAGAAAATGTAATTATATATTTTATTATATATATATATATATATTTAATAAATAAAGATTTAAGATTTCAAGACATTTTAATTACAAATTACTTAAAAACCTGTAAATGTGTAAAATGAGTGCCTA